TATTGTGTTTTAGGATTAGAGCCATCACCTCTTTTCTTTATTTTTGGTTTATTGTTTTACTTTAAAGTCTCTTTTAGCTTTTATTCTTTTCTTATTTGCAAACACATTTCTTAACCCTCTTACATGTTAAGTCAAGTAGTATAGCTTTACCAAGACCCTGTATTGCTATATTACAATATATATATCATAAAGTTTTTGAATATTTCTCACATTTTTTAGGGTTATACAAAAAAAGTATAGTAAAAATATTTTTAAAACATGTAATCTATTACACAAAAAAAATTGCTATACATATTATATGATAAATGATCTACATAAACTCTACTTTTAAAGAAAATTTAAAATTTTTTAGATTCATTTTTTGGGGTTTTTTTTAGCATTAGGAGTAAGATTTAGAGTTAGGTTTATTAATAAATAAGTATATGTGGGTTTTATAGGCTTTAAGGATAGGCATGAGAGGTTTTTAATTTTATTTTGATCAGATTTCATTTTAATCTGCAACAGTAACTGTTTAGTTCAATACTATGAAAAATAGAACTAGCAACCCACTATTGTTGTTAACAATTAAAATTTTTTGATCTAAACCTTAACTTTAATATAAAATATTATTTATTACTTTTAATAATGAATTTTATTATTTTATTTATTTATTTATTTATTATTCCTTTTTATTAAATTAGGGCCTGTTGAGCTTTTAAATAAAATTATAAAGAAAATTTTTCTGGTTCTAATGGTGATTAAATTATCAAAATTGGCTTAGTAAATTCTAAATATTTGATATTACAAATTTTTATTATTCTAATTTTATTATAATTAAATTTAAAAATTATTTATTCTATTTATTTTATTTATAAAATATTACAGAATTAATTTTTATTATTATTACTATTCTTCTGTACTCTTTTCTTAATTCTTGCACCTTATCCTTCAAATTTACTATTTGAACACATAGTCTATTCCTCTTTATCATAATCTTTCGAATCTGAGTTTCTTGTATGAATCCTTCTTTTACTGCTTCTAAAACTAAAAAATTCTTTTCATTACTTCTGCCTTCAAATTTATAACTTGATTTTAAAATACAAACAAATAATCTGGAACCAAACTACCTTTATCATAATAAGGTATTTATAAAGCAAAATTTAATTAGAAATAACTTATTCCTAAGTATATAAACTTGAAAAACAACTAAAAAATAATTAAAAAGATATCTATTCTAAGAATATTACAAGCAAGATTTATTACTTATAATATCAGTGAAGATAAGTTCTTATTCTACTTATATAAAAAACACAAATATCGAAATAAAGAGAAGAGGCGATGGCTCAACTCAATATACCAAAAATAAATACTCAAAGAAGAAAGAAGAGGCGATGGCTCAACTTTAAATACATAACAAAAACACAATAAAAGCTTTATTAAACCCAATAAGAAGAAGGTAAGCGATGGCTACACTTTCAAGAAAATAAACCATAAATAACAAGGAATTAAAAGTAGGAAGGAGACAGTTTATTCATTAAAAATAATCCATAAATAACAAGAAACTAAAAGTGGGTAAAGGAAGTCTAATTATTAAGACATTAAAAAAGGAGCCAGAAAAGTCTAATTATTAAGAACTTAAAAGAGAAGCCAGGAAAGTCTAATTATTAAGACCTTAAAGGAGAGCAAGGAAAGTCTAATTATTAAGACCTTAAAGGAGAGCAAGGAAAGTCTGCTCTGCTTTGGGAGAAAAGGCAGGGTTTTTATATCTTTTAGATTATTAGTAAACGATCCAGTTAACAACCTAGTTAACGACCTAGTTAACGACCTAGTTAACGACCTAATTAATGATCTAATTAACGATCCAGTTAACAACCCAGTTAACGACCCTTTTAACAACCCAGTTAACGACCTAGTTAATAACTCAGTTAATGTACCTGTTAACGTACCTATTAATGTACTAGTTAATGTATCAGTTAATGTACCTGTTAACGTATCTGTTAACATATCTAATATTATACTAAAATTAACACTATTTGTCGAAAAATTTACTATTAAACTAAAGCTAAAAATAAACATATAATAAATATAAATTATACTAATAAAATTTACTAATAAAATCTTCTAAAATATGCTAATAAAATCTACTAATATAACAATATTTAGATTTAATTTGAGAGATAGAAGTATTAGAGAATTGTATGATATCAAAGTATGCTATAATTTTAGCAAGAATATATAGGTCTGTTGTTTTTAAGAAAGTATTTTGAAGAGTGTTTTTAAGATTAGTATCAGTAATAATATTATTTTTAAAAGCAGTAAATAAAAAGCGTTTAAAGTATGTATAATAGAAAAAGGATTGACATTTAGAGTTCATAGTAGTATTGTTAAGTTGTATAAATTTTTATTTAACTATTGGGCTAGTTCTTTAAAAGATTTATAAGGAAAGGTTTTGTAAAAGTTGCAGCTAGTGGTTGGTTTGATTAAAAAATAAAAAAATCTAAATAGGAGTAGATAGGATTAGAAAAAGAGTTATAAAAATAAAAAGATGTTAAATTGTGGAAAGTGTATGAAATATTGTTAGAAAGAATATTACATGTATTGTTTGTATATGTATAAATATGATAAAGTGATGCTTTAATAGATGCAGATGTTTTTTCATGTAGTGAGTTAATGGTAGGAAATTGGTAAGATTCTGGAAGTAATTTTTTAAGTTCAGTATTAAGATAAGAAATTATTTGAAATTTGAGAAAATTATAAGTTTTTTGTTCATTAATATGTAAGAATTGTTTTTGGTATGAGTTAAAGAATTTTGGAAACCATTTGTCAAGTGGTGTGCAGTATGTTTTAAAGGAGGGGATGTAAAAAGTTTGTAAAAAACTTTGTGAAGAAATATCGAATGTAATATAAACATTGTATTTGGAATCATTTTTAATTTTAAGAGATAGTTAGTTGTCATTATTAAATATAGTATTAAAGTGTAGTGTCATTTGAATAGGTTTGAGATCTAGGTCATTAAAGAACTTAATATAGTTAATAGTTTTATATTGGTTTTGAAGAAAGAGATATAAACAAGCAAAGTTGATAGCGATTTAAGAGCGTTTAGAGATAGAATGTAGTGGTGAAAAGTAATGAGAATGAAAAATTTTTTTATAGTTTAATTTTGTAAAGAAGGCAGTAGTAAAGTTAAGTAAAATATCTTTGAGGTTAAATAGTAAATAGTTGGAGAATATATTAGTGTGATGTGTGTTTGGTCTGTTTTGATAAATAAAGTCTATAACAAATTGTGGTTGTTGAGAAATCATATTTTGTAAAAAGTCATTAAAATTGCTTTTAGTGCTGTATTGATTGGTTGATTTTGTTGACTAATTTTACCAGGATAGAAGTTTTGAAGAAATGGTTTAATGAAGTCAAATACCTGTGTACCTAATGGTGTATAAAATTGAGTTTGGCTTATAGCTTCTTTATTAATAGGAAATGCTTGGAACTAGTCCAAAGAATTGTCAATAGTAAGCTGGTGGTAAGGAAATCTTTGTTGAAACATGTTTTTAGTTGGATTTAATGAGTGAGTTTTTAGGTGTTTTGTTGATTTAATCAGTGAATATTAGGGTGTAAGTACAGATGCATCTCGATATAGTTACCCTCGATATAATTACAAACTCAATATAATTACAATTTTATTTTTACCAATTAATTTTATATTATTTTATTTTTTATATAGTCACAAACATGGTATATTCATAATCACCCAATTTTATATTACCAAATATATTAGATATATAATAAATATACCTTGATATAATCACAAAATTATATCAAAAATATGCTTTGATATTAAAAAAATTATATACGTACATACGTACATACATATATACATATAGTGTTCTAAGCCGATTAAGCTAGCCGCTTAGCCGACCGCTTAGCCGCTTAGCCGGCTGATAGTTTCATTAACCGGCTAAATGGCTAATAATAGCTAATAACAATAATACATATATCATAATAATACAATCCAGAAAATCGATCTAAAATGTGTTAAAAAGCAAGCTTTTAGCAGGCCAAAACAGAGCGTCCATTAAAGTAAAGAATTTCTTATTTTGGCTAATAGATAAAGCTATGGCGTAACTGCCCCATCCGATTATAATTAATTAAAGAACCTGTGCAAACAAAGCCCCCAGTACCACAAAAAAATTTTTTCATATCGTATTATCATTGTACAAATATAGACATTAATTTTAATTAGATAATCGCATATTGATTCACACATTAACTTCGAAGATTATTCGAATATCTAATCGAGTTAATTCGTTCGTTTTATTCGAATTATTAAAGCAAATGCTATTTATAAAGACGTATAAATATATTTTATATTCCAATTGGCAGAGGAAAGCTTATTTTAAATTTTGGCAAATGTGTAAAATTTTAATCGTCGACTATATCAAAAAAATCAGAGATAAAAATTAGTACATCTATTAACTGCGAAACATATATGCTTTTATAATCGTTGACCATGCTTTTCAAATAAATTATAAATTCACAAACCTAAAACCTGACTTTTTTTTGGCGATATTCATATTACTGTAATATTGCACAAGCTTATGACTTTTTCAACCGATCTATTTGATATTGCTAATGTATCAAGCTGCTAACCCAAAAAGTCAACTAATTAAAAATCATAGTCATAAATTATAAGAAAATAATAATACTAAAAAAGAGAAAGGTTGCGAGAATGGCTATGCAAAGGAGTATGAAAATGTTAAACATTGAATCACAGATTGTGTTATTAATTAACTTCCCTTTATAATTCCAAAGCTCTGATACAATGAAACTTGCTGATAAGAAACTTCTTATACGTTCTTCAAATAAATCTTTTATTTTACTTCCAAATCATACGTTCTGAGTATATTTCTTGAATTATCGTTATCACTAAATAATAATAAAAAAATAAATAAATAAATAATAAATAAACAAATAAATAAATCAACGCTCATATAATCAAATTCAAAAAAAAAGTTCCAATATTGATTTTTTCGTAATGGAGGATTCTCAAGATGACAAATTTTTTATGTCTTCTTTTTCATCAAATTCATCTCAAATGTACGGTGATTTATATGATGCTAATTATATAATGAGGATTTAGAAAGTGGTGAAAAATCCGATGATTTGGATGAAAGCTCAGAGGCTGAAAAGAAAATATCATCAGCTACTACACGCAAAAATGAACAACCTTTAAATAAATCTAGCAGAAAAAGATTACCTTCCTGGACAAACCGATATTTCGATACTTTTAGGCTTGAAAAAAAAAGAAAATGTAATGTACTAATTAATACAAAGGAAGGAAAATCCAAATGTGGGCATTCTTTTGAACTTCAAACCAGTACAAGTAATCTTGCTTCGCATTTGCGTGTTGTTCATCAAATCCATAAACCCGATAATTCAAAACCTCCAACTTTTGCACCGATTCAAACAAATCAGCCAACAATTGAACAAACCTTAAATAAAGTTACACCTCTTTCAGAAAAAAAACAAACCCGAATTATGTATCGGCTCATTTCTTGGCTTATTGATGATTTACAAGCTTTTAACGTACTTAGTAATGAGAAGTTTCGTGATTTAATACACGAATGTGAATCTCGATTTCAATTTCCATGTATTGATTATGTAAAGCAAAAAATTGCATTATCGGTTATATTTAGTGAATCAAATTTAAAAAATTTGATTAAAGAAACTCTTACTTCATTTAATTTTACTACTGACTTGTGGACACAATTCCATACACCCTATATTGGAATAACAATACATTGGCTTTCAAATGATTTCATTCTTTATCAAGCGCTTTTGACGATTCAACAATTTCCTTACCCTCATACTGGTGATGCAATCGAAGACTTTCTTCGTGATTCGTTTATAAAATGGAATATTTCAAGTAAATTATTCGGAGGATCGACTGATAATGCTGCTGCAATGGTAAAAGCTTGTAAGCAGCTTCGTATTGTTCATATTGGTTGTACAGCTCATACATTGCATCTTTCTGTTAATGATGGATTAAAAAAAATAGAAGCATTAATTGTAAAAGCAAAACGATTAAATAGTTTTTTATGTAACCGAGACAAGTATCGTAGTGATTTGATGAGTTATTTTGTAAAACAACATCCAGAATTAAAAGAGCTTCAACCAATTAGTAGCGATACTGCTACCAGGTGGAATTCCACATACCTACTTCTTAAACGGCTTTTACTTTTTCAGTATCCTGCTCACCAATTGGCTCAACAACTACAAAAAGATGTTAATCGACAAGTAAGGAATGATGGTGATTCATTGCATAATCTTCTTTTGGAAGATTATGAATGGCAATGCCTGGACGAACTGACTATGCTTCTCCAACCATTTGCACAATCAATCACATTTATGGGAGGTAGTCATTATCCTACTTTAGGTATGATGTATCCAACAATTCGAAAGCTTTTTCAGCATCTTGATACTGTTTATGATAAGCTTGCTACATCCAAAGTTAAAGAAGTTTGTATTGCGGTTAATCAGTCAATGTCAAAGCATTGGGATGAGCCAAAAGAAGCCGGATTAATTGCATCATACCTGGATCCTCGATTTAAAAATTTACGTTTTTTAAACGTTGAAGAAAGAACAGAGACAATCAGCTTACTTCGTACACAAATTATTGAATCATCCGATTCTCATACTTGTACCACTACTGGTTCTTTAACTAAAAACACACAAGAACATATGATGAGTAAGTTTTTTGATGATAGTGATACTGTAGCACAATCATCGCTTGATACCGAATTACAGTTGTACGATAGTTTGCCTTTGGTTCCCAAGTATGATTTGGACCACCCTGAATATAAAAAAGACAACCCACTGTTATTTTAGCACAAATATGCAAAATCATTACCACTTCTTGCATCTCAAGCAAGAATATATCTAGCCATACCTGCCACATCAGTTCCTTCTGAGCGTTTGTTCTCAGATGCTGGCAATTTACTAACTGATAAACGTAATCGACTTGATCCAAATCAGGTACGTGAGTTGTTATTTTTAAAAGAAAATTCATCCCTTTTTAATTGCTATCCAGGGTTAGAATTTTAATTTTTAAAAAAAATTAGTAATTATAACGATCATTTAGTATTACTTATATTGTTATATTGTTAATAAAGCGGCATAAAATAAAATAAATATATATAAATCTATTGAAAAACGTAGCTAGACTTATTTCATTTCTACTAGCCGTATTAATTAGAAGACGAATTTTGGTTAGCTAATCGCTCTATCGCTACTTTATATGCAGAGCCTCGTGACACCTAGATTAGATTAGTCGCTCACGTTAAATAAAATTGACCAATTATAGTTGGCTAGTATTATTGTCTAATGCGATGCACCCGACTCTAAATTTTGGCCGATCTGCTGAATTTTGGTTGTGCGACCATCTATTGGCTAAGCCGCTAAGCTATTAAAAATTTAACGGCTTAGCCTAGCCGTAAAATTTTAATCGGCTTAGAACACTATATACATACATACGCAAGAAATATACATACAAACAAGTAGTATAACAGAATCAAATCTTTTCTAAATTATATTTTAACATTAATAAGTGCATATATGAATACTTCACGTATGTATATCCATAATAAAATTAGTCTTGTGTTTAGTACTATACTCATAAAATTGTACATTTATAGAAAAATTTCATAAATTAAAATGTTAAATCTAAATAATCATTGTTTGTGACAAGCATGGGGTATGCATTTGTATAATCGACGCACTAATATGTAGAAAGAAGTTCATAGAAATTATATAATTATATGAAACTTGTTTATTTGCATATCTTAAGAAAAGAGCTATAAAAAGAGGACCTTTAGTAGGCAGTTGTTATAATATTATGACATTATATGTACATATATACGTACTTGATTAATAGTTGAAGTGTGTGTAACACCTGACAAACTATATTAACCCGGCAATGATTCTTAGATCAAAAGTTTTTTTTTGCTAAAAAATAAGCATTGTTTTTTTTCATTTTTAAACCATAAATACTATATATTAAAAAAAAACAATTGATAATTTTTTAACTGTAAAATAGCATCTTCCTTTTAAATTAGTTTTTTTTTTTTTTTTTTGCTATAAATTGGTTTTTTTTTTTTTTTTTTTGCTATAAATTAGTTTTTTTTTTTTTTTTTGCTATAAATTAGTTTTTGTATATATGCACCTTTTCTCTAAAAAGACCTGATACATATGCACCTTTTTCCCAATTTCAAAAGGACCTGATAAAATTTTTTTTACTGTCATAAGGTATGATATGATACTTGTGAAACAATATAAATAAATGATGAAATATTGCTTTATTGTACTATCACTATTCTTTCTAAATTTTACATTTTTCTTCACTATGCCTCCTGATCATATAGTAAAGAAGACGTGAAGCAGACTTAGTAATACTCAGCATAAAGAAATATGTAAGTATTCTAAAACCCATCCAATAGCTAGGCATCAAGATATTGCCAACAAGTTTATAAGAAAGTATCCCACACTAAACCTTGACAGGTCAACTATCACTAAGATTTTAAACAAAAGTGATCAATATCTTTACCTTAAAGAAAGCATTATAATACAAAATTGGTATAAGAATAAGCTGCCGAAGTTTCCTTTGCTTGAGACGGCAATGACAATTTGGATGAACCAGGTTACTGCTGCTGATATGGTCCTTATGGACGACTTAGTGAAACTAAAAGGCCGCGAATTTGATAATCAGCTTGGCATTTCTGAAATAACCTTAAGTTCTCAAATGAGTGGATCACGAACTTTAAGAAACGAAATTTCCTGCGCCAATACAAATTTAGTGGAGAAGCTGCGAATACACCGTTAGAGACTTTAGCAAATGAGAGAATTAAGCTAAGACAACTTCTCTCTCAATATGACCTTAAAAACATTTATAATGCTGACAAAACTGGGTTGTTTTATCAAATGCTACCGCATCAAACATTAGCAAGACAAATAGTTGCTGATAAAAAACAGGTAAGAAATATAGTTTTTATTTCTGAATAACATTAGTAATTAATATATGTATTACTGTTTTACCTTAGAATAAATCATGGCTTACTGTGTTGTTGGCCTCAAATGCAACTGGTTCTCACAAACTTCAGCCATTGATTATTGGTAAATCAGCAAAATCACAGTCTTTTAATGGTATAAGAATATCGCAACTTATAGTTATATATAAAAATAACAAGCGTGCATGGATGAGGTCCAACATTTGGGAAGATTGATTGAAATTTCATGATAAAGGGTTTCGTATTTAAAACAAGAAAGTCTTGTTTATTGTAGATAATGCCAGATCTTATAGTACACCTGATGCATCTAATTCCTCAAATAATATCAATAACAATAACGACTAAAAGACTAAAGAAAATCATTTAGATCGTGATAAGGTTTCTGAAAATAGTGCTTCTGAAAATAATGATCAGTTTGATTTACAGCCACATAAAAATCAATACGGATGACCTCGCAGACGATCTCGCGGAAGACCTCACAGAAGACCTTGTGAAAGACCTTGCAGAAGACCAACAATTTCGTATAGAACATCTGGTAAAAAATTAAAAAAAAGACAAAATTGCACTACCAGCAAACTGTTTAAGCTTACAAACATTACACTGCATTATCTTTCACCTAACATGACTATGCATCTTCAACCTATGAATGCTGGAATAATTAAGTTGTTCAAATCTAAATATAAGAACCTTTACTGCAAGCATATTCTTAAGTAATTTGAGTCCAATATTAATTTGGAAGAGTTAGTAAAATTTTTATTTATATGGCTAAATGAAATCAGATTAAAATGAAATATTGTAGTGTATAAAAAAAATAGACAAGCTATTGAAAAATAAAATTTTTAAAGTATATTTTTTAGAGGTTAGAGTTAGAGGTTAGTTTTAGGGTAGAGTTTATAATAAACAAGTATAAGTGGGTTTAGAAGGTTAATATTTCATTTTAATCTGATTTCATTATGATTCACAGTATTTATTTATTTATTTTTTTAATTCCTATAGAAATAAGTTAAATGTAAGGCAAGCAATCCAATTTATCGCAGACTCATGGCATAATGTGACTAATACAACCATTTAAAATTGCTGGCGTGCGACAGGGATCCTTCCGGATGCAAGTGAAATAGAGTAGAATATGAAGATCAAAGATCTGAGGATGATTTTTTTTTAAATAAGGATAATGAAGTTGCAGAAATTATTTCTGATCTGTTATTAAACAATGATTCTGAAGCCTCCAAAATAGCCCAGACCATGGAAAGATATATTCAAATTATTGATGAACCCATTGCTACAGAAGGGGTACTCAATAATAATAAAATAATTACTATAGTTTAGGCTAAAGAAAATAATCAAGAACAGGAAAGTGACGATGATGATAAAGAGCCACCTCCTCCACCCGTAACAGCTAAAGAGGTACATAATGCGATACAAACTATTTTGCACTATGAAGAACAGACTAATTCAGAATTGAACCTTGAGCCCAATGAATTAGAGTTTTTGCGAAAATTGAACAATAATTACAGGCATGCACATAAAAAGTCCAAAAAGCAAATGCAAATTACAAGTTTTTTTATTTCTGAATATTTATAATCATTGCTAAAAATTGAGATTTATTAAATAAAATAAGGTAGCTGCGTAATGCAGTTGCGCTAAAACCAGGAACGGAAGAATTCTGATAAATTGTTTATTCACCAACTCATTGAATAGTTTAGGTTTTTATTATATAACTATAGAAGTTTAGTAGACAACAAAATGTAATTCAAGCTTTAATATTAGTG